TTTTGTCATTTGAATCACTGTATTTTTATATTTTTCATTTGGATCACTCTGTATACAAAATTTTTTAAAAATGCTCCGATTTCAATAATTTTTGCATAATAAGAATGTTCTAACCATGTAGATTTCAATAACATATAATTTATATAATAAAATATAATTTGACGATTTTTTAAACCTATGACTACCGGTATTATGTTTGAAGTCGCTCCCCCACCACCAGTACCCACGAGCCGCCACTGATATCAACTGTAAACAGGTTAATTGACATAAATGACATTCTACGAATAACATAAAGATTCAATAAATTAGATGTCTTTATAAGTCTTTTTCATGTTTAAATAAAAAAAATGCTTGTCTATAACAACTTTTGAAACGGTAATTAAAGAATTATGCATATCTTTTACTTGGATAGAAGATGTAGCGCATCAGAAAATGTGAGATTATAAAATAACCTAATTATCAAAAAAAAAATTTCAAAATTATTATTATTTTAGAAGAAACTTAATAATCAATGATAAATTAATCATTCTGTATTTTTTCATTCGAATATTAAAAGTATTAAACGTTCCAAAATAAAAATAAAATAAATAAGTTTTATTAATTTAATATAACTATATTAAACTATATATCTGGAAATAAATTTTTTTGGTTATTAAAATATGTGCAGAACTGAAGCTATTGGCACATAAATTATTTATCTGGAATAATAAACTTTTTTATTTTTTTCAGCTCTTAAAACTTTTGTAATTTTCATTCCCCAAATATTTCTATTGCTCCTACTGTTTATAACTAGTAACACTGCGCTCACAGATTTATATATAGAATAAATGATTAATTAATATAAAGAATAATTTATTTATTTTATCATTTATTCTTGAAACAAATTTATAGTAGTATAATATATTGAAGGTTAAAATTTAAACATAATTAAATGCTTAGCTGCAAATGCTACAGTGAAAAAAATATGCATGTATGATGTTCCTTGCAAAATATTTGATGATCAAATTGAGACAACCAAAATTATAAATAAAAATTAATAACTAGTCTTATATTGATATGCAGGTCCTGATTTTTAATTCTATTTCTCTGGAATTCTTAGATTTTTAATTCTTTTTTGCATAAGCAATAACTTTTAAAAAGCTATGATAAACATAAATTGCATATAAAAAAATATCTATACAACGTAATATCATTAACCACTTAATTAATTGAATCTTCTTCTCCTTTTTTCTCGCCTTAATCCTAACCAATTGGGATTGGCTACCTTTATCTTAGTCTTCCATTTGACACGATATCCCACATCTACGCTCACATCAGTCGTTCTCATATCACATTCAATTACATCCTTCCATCTCTTTTTTGGTCTTCCTCTACCTCTTCCATTAACATTCATTTCTATAACTGTTATTACAGCTTCCTATTGCTATCTCCTCATAACATAACCAAACCAACTAAGTCTATTTTCTCTCATCTACGAATGACACTACACCTATACTTCATCTTCTATGCTCGTTCTTTATCCTATCTTCTCTAGTCATTCTACTTATCCATCTAAGCATTCTCATCTCAGCTACACTCATTCTCTGCTCTACTTTCTTGTTAACCTCCTTTAAAGCTATTAATCAAATAATAAAAATATTATTAATAATTTTTTTATTAATTCCTTTAATTCAATATTTCTCTCAATTTTTCAATCATAAAGTGTTTTTTATGTTTATCTTTATACCTTATAAGGGTGTCAATTTTTATTTCTCAAACGGCAACACACATAATAAACTAGCTTATTAAATAGATAATGATCTATTTAATAAAATGACTGGTTGATAATAATTTAAAGTAATGATTGAAGGTGAAGTGTGGGTGCTGCTGTTTTTATAACTTAACTTTTCTTAGCTTTACTCTTCCTGAATGTAAAAAAAAAACTATGATTGAAAAATTAAGAGAAACCCTGAACTAAAACAAACCAATTAAAAAATTATTAATATTATTTTTATTTTTTGATTAATTAACTGGTTCATGATAAGTGAATTACTCTGTGTAGGTATCGTAACATCATGGATTAATTTTAATCCTGATTTCATAAAAAATTAATTTTTTTGTAACAAATTTTACATAATTAACTCTTAAACATTAAAAACTGTTTTTAAAATATTAAACCATGTTACTATATTTAAGAAATTGCATCATTGTAAAATAATTTTTTGAAATTTTAAGACTATTATTATATTTTAAGTTAGTTATTCATGTCAACACTTATGCTCCAACGCGTCAAACTATATTTCATGCATTAGTATCCAATAAAATGAAGGAAAAAATGTGTGAAACAATAAGATCACGTTACAACCCCAGTACAAAAAGTTTGGATTTATGTCGTTTTCATGCTACTCTTTGTAGGATTTTTATATTATAAATTTTATTTTACTATTTTTATTAATGATGTATTTATTTATGTATTTCAGTATTAACAGAACATCACTTATATTGTCCTTTAAATTGGCCTTCATTTCTTTTAACAGTTTTGCATTTAGGTGCTCAATTTACTAAACATGATTTATATGGTCTAAGTCTTGAATACAATAACATTTATTTAGGAGAAGGTCTTGTTTGGATACGAAGACTATTTCCTGATTTGAAAATATTAAATTTAACTGGAAATAAAGTAATCCTAAATTATCTATACAGAATGATACTTTTAATATTATGTTCTCAATTATCTCTTAAATCTCTTTAATCTCTTAAAATAATAATTATGTTAAGAAAATTATTTTGTAATTTTTTAATTTCATATATTTCTTGGTATATCAGTTATTAATTACTTTTTAATTTATTCATTATATCTTTTATCAGTGTATATTTTACTTTCTTAAATGACAACATACATATTTAACTGGTCAATAACAAATTTGGACCAATATTTCAGAAGTTATTAACAACTTTATACTTAGGTGAGAGGAGGAGTGTGGTTGAAAAATATGTAAATATAAATAAATATTGTCACACTAATGTCATTTAACAGCCTTATAAGCTATTGATGAATTAAAAAGTAATTATTAACTAATTAATCAAGAAATATGTAAAACTAAAAAATTACAAAAATAATTTTCCTAACATTATTATTTTACAATAAATTAATGGCTAGTATTATAAAAGTCACCCTGTATTGTTGAAAATTTCTAATTCACAGTCTTAAATTTTAATTGTTTTAGCTTAAAGAATTTAAGGATTTAAAAGAACTATCTGGTTATAAAATTGAAGAACTTAATTTATCTAAAAATCCTATAAATGCTATTGAAGATAAACAGTTTTATATTGAGTATGATTCCAGTTATAATAAAAGTATTACATACAAGAGTTATTCAGTTTAAAATATTATTGTTTAATATACATTTTATGTATATAAAAATCTAATTTATCTGTTTTAACTGAATAGCCCATTGTTTTTATTTTAGATAAAAGCATTTTCTATTTGTTAATAGTGCTGTCAATAGGTATAATAACTAGTATTGCTAATAATATGGTAGAATTATATACATGTCTTAGGAACAGGATCTAACTAAATTAAATAAATATTAAGAATTATGCTAAAGGAAATACTCTTAAATTAAATAAATTTTATATAATTAACTCCCTATAAAATACAATGTTCAATAAGTTAAGAAATACCAGATTTTTAATAGGGTATAATATTACCATTTTAAAATGGATATATTTAAACTTGATTGCAATAAATTCATTTAATTATCCTAATATATTAACCTTTCAGCAGGCACTATATTGTAAAATTTACAATTCAAGTGCTATTTTTATTTATATAATTTATATTATTATTTTAACAAATTTATAGTGGCCTGGTAATCAACAATTATATCATGATCTATAAAGTGCAAAAATTTCAATTGATTTCAAGCAATATTTATACAGTTTTTTGTCATTTTAGTTAAATAAATTCAGATTGTTTTTAATAAAAACAACACGTACCTACTCATGTTCTAATGTTTATTTTAGTTAAAATATAGCAATATAAAAGAACTTCTATAATAAAAGCAGAAATTTTTATATTTAAAATTTTTTTTTAATTACTTTTTAATGAGTACTTTATAAAAAATATGCTTAAAGAAAATTTTTTATTTATTATTAGTTTGAAACAAGCTATATTATTTATTTTTATTTTTTATTTAATATACTTATATAAATCTATTTATAAGAGAATGTATGTTTTTAAATATATTATATTTTATTATAATTATAATAAATTACATTTACAATAAATGATGAAATTATTAAATTTTTCAGAAAACTTCAGCATTTATTTCCTATGCTAGTTAAATTGGTAAGTTATATTACTCACTCTTTTAACAACGTCATATTGAGAGAGTGATTCAAAAAATTTAAAAATGCATTCAAATGTACTGAAAATAAATAATTGAATCTGATCTCAAGAAGTTAAATATTTAGTTTAGGTATAATGCAATTGCTAGGATATACTAATCTTTTGAGGCATTCTGATAATAAAACTATCTCAGAAATTATATATTTTGAAATATGACGTTGTTGAAAGAATTGAACAACAAGTTATTATTTTATAAAGCTGTAATTGTTACCTATGGCAAATATAGAATTATTGCTTACGTTAGTACTTTTTTATAGGATGGTATAGATTTACCTTGCCGTTACACTACTATTTCAAATACTAAATTTAAGATGCCAATTAATATGGGAAATAGTTATCCAATTGAACAAGGTAACAATCCTGAAGATCCTAATACAATCATTATTTTGGCAGAATCATTTGTAGCTCAATACTATGAACATTATGATACTGGAATGTCTAAATGTCAATTAGTTGATGCATATCATGAAAATTCTACCTTTACATTGTCTGCTTTTATTCATTCAAACAAGTAATTAATTCCAAAATAACTTTATTTTTAAACCAATTATTTTAATAAATGATTTCATTTTTTTTTCTTTTACTTTGAGGGTTTTATCAATTTATTATTTTATCATTTACCTCATACTCTAATACTTAGAATAATTATCAAATAATAAGGCAGCATTGCCAGTTTAAAATAAAATTGTCTTGTTTGTAGACATCCCTTATATATTTTATATAGTCTTATGTAGAAATATGACTTAACTCTTAAAAATCTTATTTTTTAAGTGGTAGGAACAATTCTTTTATTTTATTATTCTTTAGTCAATTAATATATTGTTGAATTTTAGTATTATACAAAATTACATATTTTTTTTATTATTTAATTTAATCATTAAATTAGTTTCTAATTTGCCCAGAAATTTTTATTTTTAATATATGATTTCTGTGTAGCAAAACAAATAATCTAAGATATTATTTATCTGAAAGCCGAAACTTATTAAAAAAAACAGAAATAATGAAGTACAAAAGGTCTCACTTTTATCATCGAGGCAAAGAAAATATTTTAAAAGCTCTAGATAAACTACCAAAAATGAAGCATGATATAAAATCCTTTACAATTGATGTGCCGTTAGCAAATGTAAGCTTTTTTTTCAAAACAAAGAAAGATAAAAACTTAAAAATATGATTTATACTATAACTTGTTTTAATAGTCATCCATGGTACAAATAGTTGTTAATGGTGTATTTTCCGAATATTATTATAACAATTCAAAACCATTATTTCGATCATTTTGTAGGACATTTAATGTCATTCCTACAGGTGATGGTTGTTGGCGTATCTTAAATGATATGTTTTGTGTTACAACAGCTAATAATGAATCAATAATTGTAAGTTATAATTTTTCTACTAATCAAAAATATCTTGAATACTTTTATTTTAATTTAAACATTATTAACTTAATATGTTTTTATGGATGTATACCATAAGTTAATGTTACATATATAATATAATTACTAAGTTCAAATTTTCTATAAGCACCAAACATTTGAATGCTTAGTGCGAGATTTTAGCATGGACAGTATGAATTTATGATAAATTAGATGTTTTACTACCAAATTCTTTATCATTTTCTTTTTTTGTTGTACATTTTAGGAGACAACAAAGCATATAATGGCAGAAGAAAATTTAAAATCTGTTCAAAGTATAAACTTATTAAATTATAATGGTGAACCTTTACAAATGGAATATAAGACAACTACAGAAACATTATTACAGTCAACTCCCAAGTGTACTGCGAATATACAACAACAAAATTCCTTTTCAGCAAATCAACCAACAAATGGCCAAACTTCACAGATAATCTATCAACAAATGCCACAAAATCACATATCTGAAAAAATTAATACACCAACATATATTTCTAATCTTTTATCTCAAGTTAATGAAACAAATAACTCATTAGAAGAAAAATTGGTTATCATAAAACAGTTTTCTATTGAATCAGGAATGAATGAAGAATGGGCTAAAAAGTAAGATAAAAGCTATCATAAAGAAGGTATTTTTTTCTTATTAGAAAGATTCATATTGTTATGACTAGTTTTTTTTAGCTTCAATGCAAAGATGAGAAGGTATTCATTTTAGTAGGATGTGTTTAATTTATTATTATTTTAATCAATATATATTTTTTTTGATACCTTAGACATTTCCCTTTAATATGGTATATTTTTATATACTCCAAACTTAAAACATATATGAAAGTAAATCTTATGTTACCTACTATAAGTTAAAAATAAAATTGTCCTGATAACTATTTTTCTAAATGTAAATGTTGAAGTTGGACAAAAAATTTTATTTTTGTTTAAAAATTCACCGATATTCTTCTTAAATTCAAGAAAATACTCATCACATTAAACCTGTATAACACAATAAAAAGTGATGTTTTTTAATTATTGAATTATTTGTACATACAGTACAAGCCAAAAGTTTGAATACATATAAGAGAATTTCTATTTTTTTAGTTTATTAATAAATTTTATAAAAAAAACAGCTTACTTTATTCACCTAATTTTTAAATTTATANTTAGTTTATTAATAAATTTTATAAAAAAAACAGCTTACTTTATTCACCTAATTTTTAAATTTATATAATCCCAATATTTCTTAAGTATTTTTAAGGCATCATTTAAAAATAAAATTATGAAAAAATTTAATTTTTTTCAAATTGAAATTGTCAGCTTTTTGCTTTATCTTGGCAGTAATTAATGCCATTTTTTCGAAAAGGATTAATAACAATATAAAATAGTATCTTTTTAAAAATATTTTTGATGAAAATGATATCTCTATATCTAGATCTTTAAGTGCAATTTTCACAACCTATTTGGTGATGCTTTCCTAATTCCCTCTTCCTAAAACTTTTTATAATATATTTTTTTTTAAATTAACCTACGGGACTTTTTATTGAGATGACCATAAATCTTAATCAATACAATTAAATGATCATCAAAATTATAAATATATAATTAATAAACATATGATTTTACTAATTAATATATATATATATATATAAATACAACATGAATGGGATTTACACTTCCATTGAAGTGGTCCCTAACTTAGTCTAATATTAATAAATAATATTTAAATTGTAAAATAAATACTTATACATTTAAACCAAATCATATGGCTTGACGAGTTTTAAACGTCTTAGATTATTGGAATTGTCCAATAGTTGAATTGAATTGCTGCTATATTTTGAGGGTTTCCCAATCTTCTTATATGTTTACGTGCAAACCGAGTGACTTTATCTGGCAACATCATATCTCGATGAATTACATCATTTTTATTGAATCTGTAAGCCGCGACGATTGTACGAATTGCGAATATTTTAACAACGTTGTATAACATTTATGTTGGACTTACTAGCACAACCTCATAATTGAATTTCATTAGTTCAGACAGTTTTACGATCGCTACATATAACAGACGTTTGTTGTCTAGTGATAGCTCAGAATGTTTCCCAACTAACCAATAGAGTCCGCGCATTTTATTCTTTATCTGCAGTCTTTTTCTGGCATACATGATATTTCCAGTTGAGGCGACAGTCAAGGTGCATACCCAGATATTTAGTCGAATCTCTCCGTGGGATTATTTGTTGATTCAGAAGTATAGGAATGTCACATGTTTTACGTAACGTGAAATTTACTTGCTCTGACTATTCATTGTTAACCCTAAACTTCCAACGTTTCAACCACGTAGAAATGTTGTTTAAGGTTATTTGAATCTCTGAATATCTGATCAGTAGCTATCTGTTGATCTTTATTAGTTGTTAATGTTGCAGTATCATCTGCAAACATAGCGGTTGTTGAGTTTATGTTGGTCGGAATGTCAGCCTTGTAAAGTAGATACAATATAGGGCACAATACACTACCTTGTGGAACTCCAGCTGCTATATTTTTCCAATTAGTCAAAGCTTCTTCGTGTATGACTCGGAACTGTCTTTCATTCAAATAAGACTCGAGTAGTGTATACCATGAGTTTGGCAGTTGTTCACGCAATTTTATAAGCAGGCCTTTATGCCAGATGTAGTGACTCAAACAGAGAACTACCGCTACTTGTAGTAACTCTAAAGAAAATAATAAGATAAATTAAATATTTAACTTTTTTCTCAATGTGTATAATTGATAACAATTTCATCTTCTCTTATACAATTTTTAAACTACAATTTGGTGCGCGCTTTTTTTCCTCTAGTAACTTAAAACATTTCGTATGATTTTATTGAACTCTGGAAGTCAATTCAGCCTGTTAAACTTAGTTTTTAGTTATTTTTTCTGTCTTTCTACTTCAACTTTTTGTGAGTACTGATCACTTTTTTCTTGTTCTTATCATTTGTTGTTGCTACACGATACTGCCATCAGCTGTTTTTCGGTGACTTAAACGCTGGTCACCGTTGCTAAACAACCACCACCTTTCATAATCTCTTGAATCTATCTTTTGGAGACTTTAACGCTGGATATTGAGATAGATCAGCATGAATAACTCTAACTCACCCAAAACCGCTCTTAATCAAATTATAACGAGGTCTAACTCTGCTACAGCTACCAAAATCTCAAAAACTACACTTCCTGCACCTACCCCCCTTTCTGCAGAAGAATTCCGGATAGCTTTCGCTGAAATTCAAAACACTCAAAAACAATGCAAAACCTTATGTGCGTCTCTAAATAAAATGTTCAGCGAACTAAAAAATAGCGTTGACTTTCTATCTTCCCAATTAGCAGAGATTCGTTCTGAAAACACTGTCATCAAATCTGACATCTCTACTCTTCAGGAAAGAGTTGCTTCCCTTGAATATGCATCAAAAAATAGCAACCTACCTACTCTTTTGAGTGAAATTTCTGAACGAGAGAAGTCGCTTTTCAACATTGTCGTTCATGGTCTCTCTGAGTCATCAGAAGCTTCACCTTCTTCTCGAGCGAATGATGATATTAAAAAACTTAATGAAACCATTCAACCATTATCACTGTCTATTCCCTCCGATTACAAGCTTTTTAGACTCGGCCGCCCGAAAAATACAAAGCCTAGACCACTAAAAGTTATCTTTGCTTCTAAAGAGCAAGCCTCAAACTTTGTTGTTGACTTTAACACCGCCAAACGCTCTTTGGGAGCTGATAATAATCTGCAAAATATTTATATTTCGCGAGATCGTACTCTACTGGAGCGACAGGAAATCCGTCGTGTCTACCTAGATCTTGACAACCGTATAAAGCAAGGAGAGACTGGCATTGCAATTAGATACAGAAATGGATTTCCACATATTATAAAAAATAACCTCACCAACGGCGGTTCTTCTAGGACTTCTTATACATCAAAAAACTAAGCTTGTCTTCTGATTTTTTCATCTCTAAATTGCACCAACACACATCTTTCGTCAACGATCCATCTTGCTTTTTTTGTATTCTTTCTTCTTCAACTATAAATTACTTTTCCAACTTTATCTCCCTACATTCTAATACTACACGTAATTACACTTCTTCCTTTTCACAATCAAATGTTAATCTTAATAGACATTTAAATATTTACTACCAAAATGTACGTGGTCTAAGGACTAAACTCGTCAATTTGCGTTGCTCTATTCCTATGTTTCTCTCCTATGATATTATTATCCTAACGGAAACTTGGCTATCTCCTGACATTTCAGACTCTGAACTAGGATTACATAATTTCATTATTTTCAGGCTTGATAGAAATATCAACAGCAGTAACCTTTCTCGTGGTGGTGGAGTTCTCATTGCAGTAAAATGCTCGATTCCCTCATCCCCCATTACAATAATTAATTCAAGCGTAGAACATATTTTTGTCCTTCTCACAATTAACCACTCTACTCTCCTAATTGGATGCACATACTTACCTCCATCTAGTCCGTTACCAATTATTGAATCCCATCTTGCATCAATCGAACAACTGCTATCTAATCACCAGCCAGATGAAATTATTATCTGCGGTGATTATAACATGCCAGGTATTTCATGGGCATCTGATGAGTTTGGCCTTTCAGCAAGTGGCAATTTTACCCCAACCTCCACTCTAATTATTGATTCTTTCTCCTTCTTAAACTTTTATCAATTCAACCATACTACTAATTGTACAGGCAACATCCTCGATTTAGTCCTATCCACTTCTAAGAACTTGTCAGTCGACAAAGCCACTTCGCCTCTCATCAAACCCGATCTTTACCATCCTCCTTTATGTATCCTGTACCATTATCCCAAACCACCTAAACTAAATACTACACATTCTTATTTTGACTTTAAAATCGGTGACTATTCCTCTATTTCTAAATTCATTGACTCATTTAATTGGGAGACCACTTTTTCGCTCTACTCTATTAACGATGCCGCCACTGTTTTCAACGATGCTCTACTTAACGCTATTCAGAATTTCATTCCAAAAAAAACCTTCAGAAACCCGAAATTTCCCCGTTGGGTATCACCTACTCTAAAGTCCTTAATAATCAAAAAAAAATATGCTCATAAACAGTTTAAAAAAACAAATCTTCCTTCTGACTATTCTGTTTTCTCTCATCTACGAGCCAAATGTAAACAACTATCCCTTAGTAATTACCGTTCTTACATCAGTAACACTGAGCGCTCTCTCTCAACTAACCCCTCCTTATTCTGGAAATATACCAGAGACCTCAAACAACATTCACAAATCCCTTCCACCGTCCATCTTTTTGATGAAGTATCAAATTCACCCTTGAAAAATGCCAATCTCTTTTCTAAATTCTTCTCCTCGGTTTTTAAACCTCCAAATACTTTCTCCACTTCCATTTCTACTCCTCAAGTTACCAAAAATTACCAATTTAATCTTCCATCAAACTGTTCTTTTTCAATATTTGATGTACATTATGCTCTTGAATCCTTAAAAAACAACCACTCCAATGGTCCTGATAATATTTCGGCCCAGTTACTTTATAGATGTCGTGACTCCCTAGCACAACCACTTTTTTTCCTCTTTCAACGTTCCCTAAATG